AAATTTTGAAAATTTGTATTGCATTTCTGGACGAATCTCGATAAATTATGACGATACATAAAATTTCAGACAAATAATTTTTCTGTCTGTGTGGTCGCGATAGCAGCTACAGTTTTTGAGCTTTCAAATTTGGTACACACATTCTAGAAGTCAAGGAAGAGATTGAGTTCGTGGATGAGCAAAATGGGTTCTTAAAATTTGAAATGTCAAAAAATATATTAGTGACATTTTTGATGTCAATTTGAAATGTCATTTTTTTGACATTTCAAATTTTAAAATATTGGTGACATTCCACCAATGTGACTTTTTTGAAATGTCAAGTTGAAATGTCAAAAAAAATATTAGTGACATTCCACCAATGTGACTTCTTTGAAACGTCAAAAGTTACTTTTATTACAAACTCTACCACACATCGAGTTTTTTGGAACGTCAAAATATGACTTTTTTAAAACGTTAAAAAATGTGACTTTTTGAAACGTCAAAAATTACTTTTATTATAAACTCCACCACACGTCGAGTTTTACTACGGTGAGGAAATTCTGATCTCCAAATAATTGGCAGCGGTTTTTTATTTTTTTTCTAACGTTTCGGTTTTTTGTTCTCTGATGATGGTGTAATAAATCGAAACGTTAGAAAAAACAATAAAATTAATTTGGTCTGTCCGAAACCCCCAAAAATCTATCAAATATTATTTGATATTACATATAAAATCAGGCCATTACATATACCTTATGTAGTAATATTTTATTCTTTGTTGGTTTGCGTGTATACTTGCAATTATGTTTTTACAACCGTTTCAAACTATGAACCTTGACCATTTGTATTTTCCATATTTGTTTCCTACGGGACCTTGACCAATAATATCCAAGGTTAAAAGCTTTACATTATTTAGTTGATAACGGATCGATGCATAAGACATGCAAGAACTCATGTTTGTCGTAATTTCATTCCTATTTTAAGTAGGCATTGCTGCATTAACGTTATTGATTTGTCTTGAATTGGCCGACAGAATGCGAAAAGTGATCTTAGGAAAAAAATGCGAGTGTGTCATTTTGACTGAATTTTTGAGAGTGGACGTATCAAATACAGGGTATCCCTGCAGGATTCGATCAAATTTTAGATATATGTTCTTTGAATAATTTTACATAAAATAAGTTGGTTGTTAAAGAAAAAATACAAGAAATTTCATAGATAACGCTTTTTATTTAAAAACAACAGAAGTAATAATTAAATAAGCTACAATAATATAGGCAGACACAATTTTTGTAACACAGTTCACACATTTAGTGTATTTTTCCTCCTCCTTCAAGGTGATGTTATAATAATTATATTATTTTTTTTTCTCGGAATATCCGATGCCGGTCAGTCTTCCCGTGGCCTCCAACGCCTCACGGGAGTCGCGTTGACGCATCAACTACAGCCACTCCCCACATCCCGTAGGGTTAGTGACTGTAGATATCAGAATCGTGTGCTCTAAGTAGACGGAGAGAACCCAGAATGACCACCTTCTGTATCTGGCCTGCCAGCCACTCGGCTGATTTTTGGCAGGCCGGTATGATCTTCAGTTCCGAGAGCAGCGTAGGCTTTATCCCTCCGAGTATACCGATTATAGGGACGACCATTTTTACCGAGTAGCCTGGGTACAGCACTTGGAGCTCATACCGGAGATCACGATATTTGGTCCGTTTCCCTTCCTCCTTCAAGGTGATGTTTTTCTCCGCAGGTGCCAAGAACTCGATGACATACATCACCTTAAATTGATGGTCGAGGAGGCGATGTCAGGCTTGTTGGCTTGGATCAGCCTGACCGTCGGGAACGAGTAGTTCTAGTAAATCCGGCATTTCTCGTTCCCAACAATGGACTCAATATCTCCGGGGACGCAGGGCAGCAGTGGTGTCTGGTCTACCCTGTACGAGTGCCTTAGATGGTAGTATAGCACTCGTAAAGCCGCGTTATGTCGGTGGATGTAGGCCGAAATCGCATATATGGGGCATGCAGAAAGTAGACCAAGGTGTTGATAACACCATCCTGGCATAATGAATCCCTCGGTCTCTGACTTAAGCCCTGTTGACCTTAGAAAGGCGAATGTCAGCCTAGTCGATAAACCCAATGTTTCTATGTTCTTATAGAAGACACTATGCTGGGGTTTATCGACGTGCTGCCGACACAGGTTTTCCTGTTCGGCAGCTCTGATTGGGCTTTCAGATGATTTGGCTGAAGTTCGGTGACTGACTCTACATCAGCACCTCGCCGGCCTCCTCGCCTGATGTCAAATGCGAAACCGAATTGCGGCTCTTTTTGCTGCCTTGAACAATCCTGCTCCCACTCCTACAGTTTCGTGATGTTCCACAAACCGCAAGAGAGGATCTGAGCTCCTGAGGATGTTACATGCCATACTCAGTACTACTCTGCCATGCGTACACTCCAGGTTCAAGAGTCCTCGGCCCCCCCGTTGATGTGGGAGGTACACACGAGGAACGGACGGTCTAGGATGAATACTTCTGTGAATATTCATCATCTTGCGGATATCTCTGTCTAATTGGCACAGCTCATCTACCGTCCACTTTACTACTCCGATATTAGTTGCAGACACTTTGTTCTTCCCCGAAAGTTCGGAAGACCAAATCTTTCGGAGACGGTGTCTGTACTTGCCGCGGAGAGAATCCTTTATTTGTGTTACATTCTGGATGTGCCTTTGTTGCTCACCCAGATATGTATAGGTCTCTCCTGCATCAAGATGTCTTAGAATGCTTCCGTCTGCGAGCTGTGCATCTTCAGGGAATTCCCCACATCGTCCTCTCTTGAGGTGGACGACTGCACATTTGTCCAACCCGAACTCCATGCCAATGGCCCGCGCATATTCCTCGACCACCCTAAGAGCGTTTTGTAGTTCGCGCTCTCCGGAGGCATAAAGTTTAAGGTCATCATTATAAAATAGATGGGTGACCTTATGCCTTATATTATATTATTATTATTATTAGTATTATCATCATTATTATACGTCAAGTTTAAAGTTGTTCAAATATAATCACGTTTAAAGAAAAAGTTAAATAACATTTATTAAATGTTATTAAGAATAAAAAAACAATTTCGATAAAGCTACGTTTTCAGTTGTAGATGAGATAGCAAATAACGACAGGAAATTTATAGCCAGATCAATTGCCATCAAATTCGAAATGCGGCTGGAGTCAAACTAAGAGATAGATTGCTATTGGAGTTCCATTAGTTGAAACCTGAAATTAGTTTGTGCCTTTTTTCAGTTCGTTTTGTAGTTTGCTTGTTATTAATTTCCTTTTTCCTAAGTATCACCTGTAACGAGAAAATCGATGCTAATATAATCAGCCGATTATGAAATAACAAACCGAGAGCAGATTCTTTAAGAGACTTTTCCATTTATTTTATAATTGTGCCGTTCATTAAATTTATTGAACGAGTAGGTACTTTAAATTAGCATAATTTCTTTTGAATTAATGACTAAAGAGTTTATAAAATAAACTTTATTTGCTTTGTTTGTAAAGAAATTTAAAAAGGAATTGTATAACGGACGCAATAAATATAGTAATATAAACAATTTGCTTATACTATCTCGTAAAGCAGAGTAATTTTTAATACTCTTTTTTTTTAATAATTAAGTAAGAACGATGATAATAATGAAATACTAATCAGAAAAATTAATATAGGACTCATTCTCTGTTATAAATTTTCTTCATCATAATATTTCTATTATTATTATAGACAATATCAGAATTTCTATTATTTTCTAAATAAATAAATAAAAAATAATAATAAAGTATTCTTAATATGTACTTGCAATCCAAATTTTATTATTCTCAAATAACACTAGCGGACAAAAATAGTATATTATGTTACTCGGAGAAGGCGAACATTACATGTTCAGCCCAGAACTGGGAGAAACATATGATGTGCCTTCTACTCCAAGTAACATATACTATTTTTTCTTCAAGCGTCAAAATAAAAAAATTGCGACTTTAATTTCGAAAACTGACATCAAATATGTTCAATTTTGGCAAAAAAAATAAAAAATTGGTAATACTAACCATTTTATTTATTAATTAAGCATAACATAGTACTAACCACTTTATTGATAAATTAAACATTGGTAAAATTTTTTTTTAATTGGAATTAAAATTAAGTATAACATTATTAGTTCTTAAACATCAAAGTCTATATTACTTATAGGTCTTTCCAAAAACCATTATTTATTAACATGAATATTAAATGTGCAATTCTGTATAGTACAGTTGCTTACGTTTAAAGCACTACTGGCTGTGTTTGCTTCTAGCTTCATAGTTCTGTCGAATACATTATTTGTAATAAGATTGTCAGTTAATTGTTCAAAACTCTTTCATTGTTGGCAGAAAATTCTTCGGTAAAAACGTTTTCAGTTTGACTTGAAGTACTGGGCTCATTATACTCTAATGGGTTTAGTATTTTCAACGGTATCTGTTTTTTGTTGTTTACAGATTCTTCAATGTATCGTTCAGCAACGCTGGTGGATTTCGATACACCATGTCGCTTTAGGGTTGTTATATCTCCACCATTATCAACTAAGATAGTAGCCGAGGTTCTTCTAAGGCTATGGTCTATATATTGATGTGAATTTGACAACTTTAAAAACGATGCAACATCTTTTGCAACGTTTGAAATTTTATGTATGCCCATCACAACACGATGACAATGATCATTTTGATATTTAATAAAAAATCTATTAAAATTTATGTCTTTTGGCCGAAGAGTAGCATATTTTCTGTATAAATTTAAATAAAAATCTCCAATTATAGTAAATGAGCGATTTTTTTAGTTTTTGTGTTGGGAATATTTACTAAGATTAAATCTCCCAAATCTTTTATATCATTAACTTTTATATGAACAAGTTAATCGCATCTATAAGGTCCTGTGACTCCAAATATTAGTACAACCCAAAAAATATACTATATTAATTTTATAAAGGTAAAATAAAGTTAGAAAGAGCAAAAAAAAGTTAAAAATACAGGATTCGAACCCGGGCCTCCAAATTACGAGTCTAACACTCTGATCACTGAGCTATATCCGAACTTAATCAAAGCATTCAATTCTTTTTATCAATTATTTTCATAGCGGATAGATATAAAATAACTGGAATTTCACAAATTATAACAAAATTTTATATTACAGATATGAAAGGGTTAAATATATAATTTTAAAATGCGAACATACCTTTGTTGCTAAATATTTATCATTAGGTGCTTTATTAAGAAATTCATCAAACTCTTCTTTAGACAAAACTTTTTGACTTTTTAGGTTTATAATTTTCGCCTTGTCGCTTTATAAAGGCAATTAATTTAGAATAGTTGTCAATTTTTACATTGTATTCGATGTTTAATTTAGATTTTACATTGAATATTGCGCCCATAGAGTTGAACTTTTCAGTTTTTTGGATAAATGTGTAAAATACCTATGCTATCATCACATTTTCCGAATACATAGTATGTTGTTGTCCTTGGCCCATTTTATAAATGTATCGTAAACTTTTTTGGATTTCGCGGGAATTAATGTTGCCACTGATGAATTTGCAATTTCAAGTAATTCATGTGGTGTGCACTGCATTTCTTCAGACATTTTTGCTTTTAAATTTGAAAACCGACCCGACGTGAAATTTAAAACTGACAGCTCTGAGTTCCTGTCTGTTAAGTATTCCTTTAAAATCTGCATCGTTATGCAATTTTCTAATTTGACGACCAATAAAAAATGCCTTCTTTAAGTTTGACGTCACTTAATTGGGGAAAAAGTTCTCTTAAGTATTTAAATTTTTTACCCGCTTTATTCATAAATTTCAAGTTTAATGTGAAGAGGTGGCAAAAGAAAATTTTTAGGGTCTACAAGGAGCACATATTTAACATTACTAGTTTTTAGTTCAAATTCATTCCGTTCTGGTCAAATTCTTTTCATATAATGTTCGTTTACTGGATGACTGTCCCACAAACAAAGAAAACAGCAATATTTTGTAAAGAATCCTTGAAACTCCACAAAAATGGTTATTACTCTTAAATCCCCACATATTTGTCATTTGTATTTGAAGAGTGTAATTAAATAACGGTCTAAGTGTCAAATATCTAAAACAGAGATATTCGCATTTTAATGAATACAAATTTTATTTTTCTGAAATAAAACGACAACATTTTTTAAGGTATTCTTTATTATCAAGAAAACCAAACTGATATATTAACTAAAATAAATTAACTCAGGTTTAAATGCAATACAAGAATTAAAAAAAATATTTTAAGAACGTTCTAACTGTAACAGGTAATTGTAATGTTCTAAGTGCAACGGATTATATATTCACCAAAAGTTCTTGAAAAAACATTTTATGTTCTTGATTAGGTGGCTACTCAATCATTTCTTTTAAATTTTGTTTTTTTTGACTTTTTGTTGTAACAATGGCAAATTAATAGTTTTCAAATGATCTAAACTTACACCACGTTAACAACTTTCCACTCTTCCATCTCATTTAACGTTTCACGTATTCGCACTTTTCCGGGATTTTCTTGGTCTATTCTAATCCACTGAGCTTTGCTGATATTGAATTTTTGGGTATTGAGGTAGACGTTAGAAGCTTCTTTAAAGTCAAGAAGATCTTCTTTTTGCATCATGATTACAACAAAAGGTTGGACATTCCTAGCATTCACTATCATTTCTACTAAATCTTTTGGAACCATGCATTTGCACATCGTTTTACGTTCCTCGATTTGGGCAAAGTCCCGATCACAACTAAGGAAAGAATGTCCAGAGACCAAAAAATTTGTGATCCACTGAGTCAAATATATCCTTAAGAACAAGATAAATCCAGAGCAGTATAATCATTTTATTTTTATTTTACCCACAGCAGTTATCACTCCACATTGTCAGTTGCTTCTTTTTTGTCACACCACCCAAAAACAGTTTTAATACACAGGAAGCAATTTCATTACCATCTCTGCCACTGGTTCCCTCATGTCATATGTTCATAAAACCTGCATTAGTATCACCAACATGTACTTCAAGGCTATAGTTAGATAACTGGCGCAAATAAAACATCCTACTGTGGCTAAGAGAGGGAAGAAACAAAACCTGCTGCAAATTCATTAAACATGTACAAATGGAACTTCCAGGTAGTTGAGAGTTTTTGTGATCTTGCTGCATCATTTTTATAGCCTTTTCAGTCGTTCTATAATGTAATGCAAGTCAATTTATTAGATCCTGTCTGTTTTCGGGATTACCTTTGATTTGAGCTGATAGCAAATCACAGGTGTAATAGGTATCCGTTCTTGGTGGTTTGAAAGTTAGATTAGGAAATCTTTTGTATCTAAAAACATACCACTAAAGACACGATATAAGCGATTTATGTTTAAGTCAGGGCTGAGATACTCCTTTGAACTGCGATTCCTTGTGTAATGGCTTACATCACGAGGAAACGTATTCATGTGATTAACAACTTTATTCTTATCATCTTTAGTATATTTCCTGTGCAACTTCTTATTACCTCGCTTCTCCTCGTATATTAAATTGCCTGATTTCTTTTTTCGGTCAGCGTTTGCATTTTCCTATGGGTCACACGAAAAATTTCCTGAAATGTTCTATTACATACTTCAATTATTTCCTCCTCACCGCTTCGTACAGTATAAAAAACAATGTATGTTCTTCTACTATCGGCCGGGTCGTCATAACTTCCATGTCACCGTCGGCGTCGTTTGATCTTTCCAATATGTATTAGACTCATTATATATGTGGACTGCTTTTCGTTATCACCCATGTTATAAAATTCACGAAACAGTTTATTTTTTGGTTCAAACGAAAGTGACATACAGTTATATTTGCATTTACATGATAGCTAAAAAGAAAATAGAGCATTAGTACTTATGTTACGGTTCGATATTTTAATAATTTCGATCTACCTCTTGTTTTGGGGGCACCTTAACTTCCTTCAAAATACCCTTTTTGTTCACATATGATTTTCCGGTGTTTCTCCGTTTTTTCTTTCTACAACTTCACTTCCCTCTCCATTTCTCCTTCGTTTTCTTCGATTTTCTTCCATTTTTAGTTAACGAAAACAATACAACAACGTATTAAACGACACTAAACGTTTTAGGTTAACAACAAGTGTTTGGCACATAGACCATTATTTACGAAATGCGTAGTTGGAAATAGAATGCCCGACATCTTTTGATGAGTACCTGTGGCACGAAATGAACAAATGATACTTAGAACGGTATAAAAGTTATTGGGATAAGCACATAGTTATAGCTACTTTTCTTAGATTTAGGCACTTAGACCGTTATTTAATTACACACTTCATTTGTTTTAATTAATTTTACTTAAAATGATGCTCATACTGTCATAATCTTCTTTCATTGTTACTAAATAGGCAATTGGTATAGATAGTTTTAAATTTCCATTATGTAGTAATACAGCTTTTAAACTGTATTTGGAGGAATATATGAATAAGCGCCACCCAGAAGGGGAATGCTCAATATTAAGTTCCTGCATTAAACCATCAATAGCAATACACGCGCATAGTGAATTTTCTATATGATGCGGAAAATGTTGCATTTCTTTTTCTAAAAGTCGTAATTTTTGTTTCTTTAGCCAGTAAGTTCGTTACTATTTCCATTAGGTCCCTAAACGATATTTTGCCAATCTAAAAGCGTGGTTAGCACTGGTAAGTCTGATGCATTGTAAGGAACAGGTCTTAGGGCTGATGGCAAATCGGATATTTGATTTTTTGTTTTTTTTTTTGAAATATTCCTCAGTTCTTGTTAAACAAAAAGAGCAATCACAAAATGATTGGTGGGTTCTCGCCATACCATTGAAATCGCAAAAGGCATGCTTTTTCTTCTCCATTTCATCTACTGTACTAGTAATATGCTACAACTTACACAACAATCCTCCATAAATGTCTGGTAGGGTTGTGTAACTTCGGCGCGTTTGATTGGACATTTTGTCGTAATAGAGTTATGTAGACAAAGGAAAAAAACTTTCTAACAAACACAATTGGGCACTTGGAAGGTCGAAACAAGACTGATAGTGAAAATGTCCCACCTTACTTTAAGTTGCTCTTCTAAAATTGTCGACCCATCATAAAATTTATTACCTGCCAATATAATAGGGTCTGTTGTGGTACACTTGATTTAAAAAAAAACTGATACAACTCTTGTACTCGAAAATCTTAATAGTTTAGTTGTGTGTATATGTCTGTAAATAGGGCTGGCCAGGCATGTCGAGAGGGGGGTAGAGAAGAGGTGATTTACTCCGGACCTGGGTTTTTTGGAGGAGATCGGTTTTCTTTGTGTTTTTAATCTTATTAAACCTTTCTCTTTTATTTTATTCAAATGGAATTTTAAAAAATAATTAGAAAATAACTTTTTCAAAACATTTTCAAGCCTGCCATATTATTGTTTAAAAAAATAATATTTGTTACGGATAATTCTACTAATGGTTGTAATTAAAATACTAACTGAATAATGATAATTCTATTTTTAAAAAAAAGAACACAAAAATACCACTTGAGATTAAAAAAAATGTAAACAATTCAAACTGAACATAAAAATACAATAAAAAAATAAAATAAATGAACTTCAATTACGTAATACAGAATTAACTAATATTTTGTCATTGCTCCATTAGCGTCTAAAACTGCCTGAAGTCTTGCATGAACAAAGTCAGATTTCTTGCAAGGTCAACTTCCTGCGACAAGTTCTCCCAAGCGTCTTCAATTATCCCTTCCAATTCTTGGGCATTATTTGGATGGTTATTTAATTTTCTTATATATTTCACCATTAGTCCCCATACATTTTCAATTGGATTTAAATCCGGACTTTTAGATGGCCACGGTAACAACTCTATGTTTTTATTAAGAAACCATTGCCTGACACGATGGGCCATATGTATGGAGCAGTTGTCTTGTTGGAAAATAAAATTATTTTCCGGAAACACCTCTATTACTGACGGCAACATAATATTGTCTAATATTTCAATATATTTAATGGAATTGAGATGACCACCACTGTTCCAACACACACCTAACCCATTTAGGCCCATCC